TTTTTTTTTTTTTTTTTTAATTTATTTATTTTAAATTTCAGCGTGTCATCTTTGCGCATGGGGCCATGCTAATCTCGCGCACGGCCAGTCTCGGTCGCGCGATCTTTGCGATCATGCGGTCGAGATCGATCGCGAAGTGCAAAAAAATGCAGCTTCAAAAGAAGTTGCGCCCAATAGGGCTTATTGGATTCGATCCCAACATCAGTCGTGTATTAGTTCGGCATGTTTTCCTACTGGGCTAGCTTCTTTCACGGGAGCTAAGCCCACAACTCTTCTACTTGAAGAGCTGCCCTCAGTAGGATCCTCTGTTGCGACCTAGGGCAGGCTCAGCCTGCCACATTTTGCCAACGGCTGCGTCGCTGTCGACCTGGTGCTGCCCTGGCCCGGCGGCTCGTGGCTCAGCAGCCTATAGCTGGCCGCCATGGCACCAGGCCCTTCGTGCGAAGCAAACCCTGTGGCTTAAAAAAAAAACTCATAACGTATTTTACGCCGCGGCCTTGTTTCTAGTGCGACCGCCTCTTTTTGAGCCTATCCCGATCCTAAATCTTTAGTTTGGGTAGAATAGGTCAAGTTTTAATCTTTCCATGACCGCACATCCCTGCGGTCTTGTCGTAATCCTGTGAACGAATCGGAATAATCCAATAGCATGATTATTTTGTCAGACCAATTCCACAAACTTACATCAAAACTCGGACTTCGTCCGACATTGAAAATATAGGGCAGATACCCTTGTTAGGGTTTCTGCCCCGACACCACCATCAGTCCTAATACAGAAGTGTATGTAATTTCGGCGGGCCTATATTGCAAGCTCACAATGTGAAGAGGCAGTACACTTCTCTTGCTCCACTGGTTCAATCGTACGTACCCCGGGTGAAGACCCATAACCCTAAGACCGACTTCACAAGGACTGGTTTTTTAAAGAGGGGGTTGGGGGAATTCCATGAGTATGAGCATGAGCCCTTAGTATGGTCAACGACGGAATCCTTCCTCATGTCTAAAACACGAAGGGTGGCCTCTCGATTTAGGCTACGGGCCCAACTGTATGCGATCCAATCGGGCGCTCAAAAAGGTGTTTCTTTTCTTTTTTTTCAAAAAAAATACATATATATATACATATATATATATGCATATGTATATATATATATATATATATCATCACAAACGGATATACATATATATATATATAAATCTATATACACATGTATATCCATAACAGCATGACCAACTTCTAATGGGGGAGTTCCATACAGACTTGTTAGTCAACGGAATCTTCCTTGATACTTTAGTCATGAGGGGTAGCCACCTATTTTCACTACGGGATCAAGTTGTGGCTTCAGAAGTAGAGTCTCATTACCCTTTCCATAACACCTGTGTACCCTGCACATAAGGAAAGATAAATGAAACCATTCAAAGTAATGAACTTAGCTTGCCTTCAACCGTTCCTGATGGCATTCATCCTCCTTTTTTTTTTTTTTTTTTTTTTTTTTTTTTTTTTTTTTTTTTTTTTTTTTTTTTTTTTTTTTTTTTTTTTTTTTTGGGTTTTTTTTTTTTTTTTCATGTATGGAAGCCTAGGGGCCTTATGGTAGCATATGTGTGTGTGTGTGTGTATGTGTGTGTGTGTGTGTGTGTGACCCACCCCTGTCCCGCCAACAGATCCAGACCGTTAAGGCAGGTAACAAGTACCTGCCTTAATAGGCTAGATACCTGTTGGCTGCCATAACAGTCATTCCAGTCATGATTGGTATGTAAGAACACGCACATCCACACCGTAACACATACAATAAGCAGATCAACCTTCATTTCTAACCTTTCAGGGGTTTATTGAGGGTGAAGCACATACCTTGATCCTTGCTGTCACAGTCGGAACGTCAGATCTGGGAGGCATATATGAGTGAGGAGAGTTAAGGACTCTAAAGACACAAGCTAGACATCTTTTGAGAAGGAACCCATTGTCCACCATCGTGTCAACCACGTGCATAATTTCCGCAGGTGCTAAATCAGGGGAGGTGCATATGACCAAGATGGTTGCCACTTGCGAAACTATGATATTCAAGGATTGCTGCATGTGCCTATTAGAGGCGTACTTCACGTACCTGCAAATGGAGAAGTCCAGCATCCTATGCTTGTCAAACCTGGTCATGTGGAAGTCTCCTGAGACCTCAGAGGTCACGGTTATCTCAGTATTGAGAAATTGCGATTTCAGGCCATAAATTTTTCCGGTTTCATGAGTGAGAAAGACATCAGTCTAATTTTTTATGCTAATGAGGTGCATAGGATATAGGTGGAAGACATTATCCTTTCAGTGTGGCTGGCTTGGATCCAAAAACTTTCGAAGGAATGGGTTATTAAGCACATGCAGGTCATCAATATATCTGAAAACGTGCTTAAACAGGGGAAGAATATGAAACGCCCTATTGTCTACCAGTTTCATGATGAATTGGTATTCATACTTAAAGAAGTAGAGAGTGCACAATGAGGGAGAACAGGGCAACCCGATGGGGATACCCTTGGTCTGTTTCCATACAACACCACCAAACGACGTGTAGCACCTATGGAGAATCCATTCAACGAGGGTGATCACTTCTTCCTTGGTGAGGGAGATCCTAGTAGGCTGCTTTGAGAAAGTACATTCGATCTTCCCATTTTTTGATATCTTACAGTTCATAAGGTTACTAATCCTTCATCTGTCAGCCATTCTGCAGGCCATATATGCAAAGAACATGAATGCAGCCGGAAGCCCATCCTCATCATTGCTTATGGGTATGGTTTCAAAACAACGGGTGATGTCACCAGAAAAAACAGAGAACTCTTTCTCAGGAAGATTATAGCAATAGTCCTGCACCGAGTCAATAACCCACTATATAGTGGTGTCAATACCATGAAATACCCGTAAGCCTTCTGTGATTTCCATACAACAAGATTTTACGAGTGGGATCATAGTCTTGATTATCACATCACATAAGGAAGCAACCGGGGTGAGAAATGACGCAGCAGCTTTCATACGCCACCAGAAGGACTTGTTATAGTGTTTGTATAGAGCCATCACGTAAGGCAATTTCACCGGACCAATGCTCACATATGAAGAAATTTCCATCAAGGACTCAATAGACTATCCAAAATATCCCTAGGGGTCATCCGAACTCGCTCAAAGTCCTCGCTGGGGAGTCTGTCCAATGCCAGCTTCCTTACAAGATTGATGCAGGAAAATGATGGGGTATTAGAGGCTTTATTAGTTCCAGAGCTGAACAAATTGTTCGTGAGAAAATCTATCTCCGATCTGACAGCGTGAACATTCAGCGGGGATGGGGGGTCAAAATGTTTTCTCAAACCAAGGGTAGACAGGTGCAATTTGACTTGCTTCTCCACAAACTTAGTGGCCAGAGAGTTGGCGGGGGGGGGAATGAAGGTCCTAGACTTGACAAGTTCAACAATCTGGTCTCAGGCAATAGAAAAAAAGTGGGAAGCATACATGATCGACCTGGGCTGGAGAGGGATGTGGTTTAAGCCCTGTGTGAAGAGGGATCTCAAGGACCGGTTTCGAGAGATTGAGGGATCAAGAGTGAGGACATGCTCCGAAGGGGTGGGAAAAGGCTGAGTCATGGCAAGTGTATCATGCAAATGAAACCGTTTAAGCCTTGGCGATGTACATGGGCATAACAATCTTTCCGAGCAGAAAGCAAGCCACTTCTCAAACTCGAAATCCCTTAATACGTGAGTGGGCCTGTATACAACAGTCTCTACAGAATCAAGATAAGTTCATCCTAACATAATAGTTGCGAGAAGGATAATCGACGTTGGTGTGAAGAACTCCTCAAACACCTTCTCCACGATAGTCATGAATCTGACACCCTCCATAGCTCTATTCTCATATCTGATATGTACGAATAACCTCGATCCCTCAGGCGGCGCTGCCATCCATTTGGTCCTGCCGGCCTCATCCTTGATTTAATTTAGAGCCCCTCCATTTTGATCAGGCTCCTGCAGACGACACATTTTATTATATATCATTTAAGAACATATTAGCAAAAAGGGTTACTAATCTGTACATGAATGTACACACGATTACACCCTACTTGCATTATTCCGCAATCAGCCCCTGAAAAGTGTTCTCGCAGACCCACTGTGTTTTTGGAAGCGCTGAGCCGGTTTCGTAGTCGTGGAGCCTCCAGATTCCAACTGCGTGGTGACCGAAGACCCTGGAGGAGTGTCGAGACGCAGTGCATCAGACACAAGGGGGGTATATTCACCCTCCTCGTCACATGCCGGAGGCCTCACGTAATAGGAGAGGATCGTGTTGGCATGGCGCTTCGCCGACTAAGCGAATTGGACTTCCGTCCTCCTGCGCTTGGATGGGTTTTTCAAGTACTTGTCAGGCAACATGAGAGCTACCATCTTTCCCGGAAACTTCCTCCAAAAATTTTTCCTGCCTCATCGCACGATTCTTCAGAACATTGTGAGTCATTCTTACCATCAACATCCTCATGTGGTTAAAGACAACGCAAGCAAGGATAGGCGCGCGCCACGTTTTCCTCAGAAAGGTCCTTATTGCTCTTATCCTTGGCATGAGAGAGGGGGCCACTGGGAATTGGTACTCAATATGTGCCAGTAAGCACCGCAAAACCAGATCAAACCAAGTAATGTTCATTTTACAATCCGGTTTCCCGGACTCTACACATCTAAACTTGAGGTAGGGGCGGCCCACATTCCAAATCCTCTTCAACTCAGCGAGAGGAGTTTGGGCTTTGGGAGGGAAGGACCCTCTGATTGCCAATTGAGAGGGTGAGATAGAGCACTTAAGCGGATCGAAGTGGCCAACTACTGGAAGTTTCAAAGCGTTGGAGGAGAGGGGGTAGGGTCCTTTGATGAGCTCAGTGTTTTCAGAGAGGGCCTTATCATCACACATGTCCATTTCCTGCTGTGTGAGGGAAGCGAGGAGTCTATACGCATTCTCGCTGATCGAGGCTTCATGGTTGAAGGTATCGAGGTCCCGGATCTTATCATTCTTCGCTCTGGCCTCTGGTTCTATCCATCTAGAAGGGGCAATGGAAAAAAAAGCATTACGAAAGAACTTGTTGACATCGGTGCCCTTCTCCTTCGCCATACCTACCGCCAACTGGGCTTTTGACTCAGCTACATACTTGGCATGGAAGGTCTTCTGATCCTCAGTGAGGGGGAGACCATCATCCTCATCGGAATCTGAGTCTGATAGACCCTGCCCATACGGAGTTCCTTTGACCAAGTCAGCATGGAACTGAGAGTCGACATTCCACAGATCAACAAAGACCTTCTCCTTGAGAGCTAAACTATCACGGATGGACGCCTCCACCAATAGATCATCATCATGCATCTCTTTAGCATTCAGAACATAATTCTTCGGGATCTCAAAAAACGAGTCACTATCATTCGCCGCAGCCCAGAGAATGTCCGCCCCATCATTGAAGGACAGGACATTGACGAAAGGGGGAAGGGGGGGGGGAAGGGATATGGAGGGAGTTCAGTTTAACAAACTCCATGACCATCGGATTCGCAATTGATATTAGCGCCTGCGTCGGACGGAATGGCGTAGAAAACTGCTCCATCCAAGCCTGCTGACCAGTCACTAGCTCAACATACCATCCATTCGGCGAGAAGACAGGCTTTTGCCATACACAAAACAGGAATACAACAGGCATTATAAGCAACGGCATGCGATCAAACAAGCAGATAGGAACTCACAATGCTCTAATAGAATAAATCACTAGGACAAGGTCGGATCATTAAGATGGTAAAAAAGCGGTCATACAGCATGTAACTCAACAAAGTGGAGTCGGCCACCTTGTTCGCAAACAGGATGAGTGTGTGAAGAGAGACGAAAACCCCTCAAGCACAGTCACGGCAAGCCACATGACTCATAAGCAGCCACCTATCCACCATGAACACACGATGACCAACACTGAGTCCTGAGATTCATTCATTTGAGATCCTTAGGAGTCCATTTTGCTCTTTTAGGAAAAACATAGCCATTCTTCGCCTGAATTTTTTTTTTTCCATCTCTTGTGTATATGCATTAGCCTCCAAGCGAAGGGCGGGATCCAAAGGATCAAGAAAAGGGGGAAAAAGGCGGGGGAGGCAAAGAAAAACGGTGAGAGTTTTATTTTTGAGGGGAAGGATAGAGGAAAAGCGGGTAGGCATTTCACATATAGACGGTTGTAGTAGTAGACCACATGACGACAAGGAGATAAAAAACTATAAAAAAAAAACGAGGCTATCACATGAAGGCGATGCACACGATCACGAATCTTCCACAAAACTCGGTACGAAGCATTCTTCTCCGCGAAAAACGCTTGCAACTCCAGACGAACTGCTCCTCAAGAGAAAACATCATAATGCACAAAGGAGGTTAGAGATCTATGGAGGATATGATGAGCTATCCATGACTTAGCGAGGGAGCCTCAGGCAAGAAAACACCATTGCTTACTACGCATGCAACGACTACGATCGCAGATTCATCGAGCATGTTCCACAGCCAATACAATCCCCCCTCGTCCATCCAAACAAAGGAGTGTCGTCATAATTCAAAAAACGAGCCTCGATCACGCCACTCTAATCACTCATAGACACGCGAAGGCAGAAAATTAAGAAATCGAAGAATGCCGAGAAGATTCACATGTTCAAAAGCAACTCGTGCCCCCGAAACAGCTATCAAAAACCTTCATTGCTGTAAAACAGATATCATGAAGCATAAAGGGGGCCAGATAACTATTATGAGAGTAAAAGAAAAGCAAGAAGCCATTCACGCTTTAACGAGGTAGCCTCAGGCCGAAAGTTATCGTCACTCCTGAAGGTGCTAGCCATGCACGAAATAACTACGTTCGCAGATCCACCGAGCTTGTTCCTCGGCATATACACTCCAATCTCGTTCATGCCGATGTCATAAAAAAAGCGAGACCCGCCCTCGTCTCATCAACCGTTTATGGCTATGCGAAGACAGAAACTTGAGAAATCAACACAAGCGGATATCGGGTAGCTGAAAATTCAGGAATGAAAATTCTGAAGTGAGAGTTTTGGACAGTCTGAAAATCCTGAATGGTCTTGAAGTGGTGAAAGGTCCGAAGATCGGGAAAACCACCTGTTTAGGCAGGCTGCATCCTGAAGTGGTAAAATGTGTCCTGAAGTGGTCAAGTGAGAGTTTTGGGCAGTCTGAAAATCTTGAATGGTCCTGAAGTGGTGAAAGGTCCGAAGACCATGAAAACCACCCCTCACCACTTGAGGATGCAGTCTGCCTAAACAAGATTTTCAGGGTCTTTTGAACTTTCACCATTTCAGGACCATTCAGGATATTCAGACCTGAATGGTCCTGAAGTGGTGAAAGGTCCGAAGACCCTGAAAACCACCTGTTTAGGCAGGTTGCATCCTCAAGTGGTGAAGAGTGTCCTGAAGTGGTGATGAAAAATGCGACTGTTGTTAACCTTCTCTCGAAATCGGAGAACGCCGAGCAACTCCATACGTACAACAGTGACTCGTATTCCCTCATCAATTGTCATGCAGGAAAGGGTAAAAGATAACTGAGAGCGGTATGAACAAGGCTTCACATATCATGCCCAAGCCATAGGAGCGCCCAAAGCATCATCCGCTCCACCAACAAGAAATCACAAGACCAAAGTCAAAAACCTTACAAAAAAAAAGGGGGCTCCCTCAATACACTCCCCAAGTCCGATCCTCACCAAGGCGGTTATCAAAACCCCCATTGCTGCAATAAATGATCCCGGATGAAGCGCGCTCATCAATTACAACCAAAGCTAGAACTAAGAACAAAAAAGAGACAAATAAAGCCAGGACCATTGTCATCACCGTCTCCTCAGCATATCCCTTCGAAGCCCGATTGACTAATGAGCAAACCCCCTCTCCACCATCCATCACCACATGGGGCATCAACGAAACAACGATGTAACCCGTAATGAACGCAGAGATGAGTAAAATGGTCACCAAACACCTACGGTGAGTGCTACGACAATCCATAAGGAACTTAACTCGCCACACATCTCCCTCATGTAGTCAAACCCTCCGTACAGTTTCCTTTCACTGGCTGATGACAGCACATAAATCTACAACGATGCTTATCAATAGAAGCAATGAAAGCCAGATAACCAAGAAGGATCGCAACGATGACTACGATGCCGAGTACAAAGATCGCAAACTCCATTCAAACAGTCAGCATCAACACACGAGTCCTCAATCCTTCCGGTAAACAGCAAGGAGTTCCTACAGCAAGCCATACACAATCAACAAGTATATACAGTCATGCAGGTCAGGTAGCATTAAGTACTCATAAAGGAAAAAGGAAAGGGGAAAGAGAGAAGGGAAAGAGGGGAAGACGAGAAAGATTGTCCCAATTCAGCCAAGCGGCCTCATACATGCTGACGCAACAGAAGGGGGTGGTAGGGTATCCCAAAGGCCTATTCGCCAATTCCTACCACGATTGGCTCTTCAGAGGAAAGAAAGCCCTAACGTTTCCGTTCTGAAAGGGAAGCTTAAACAAGCTTGAACGATAGGGAGAAGGGTATGGAGGGGAAGAAGGGAAGAGATGAGAGAGGAGGAGAGGAGGATAAACAAACGAGGAGCATATTACCGCCGATCCCGATGCAGACGTCGCAGTGGTCGTACTCATGGCACTAGACCAATCAAAAGCGGGAGAGAAGTCGACTCGAGACGGAGTAAGGAAGCGAGAGAGAGAGGGAAGCAGGGAGGGCGATGAGGAGAGAGAAGTAACTTTTTAGCAGGGAAAGACGTAGACAGGGGGAATTCTCAAGGTGTCGGCGCTATCCACAGGCCAAAGGAAGCGGTGTCCCAAGCACGGGCAGGCCGGGGCTAAGAGCACCAACTTGCAAAAGCAAGACAATTGAGAACTTGATAGGCATGATTAGGAAAGTTAAATACACCATATAACTGCATGGTTCCTAAGGAAAATACCCGTCGGATCATCAGAGTACGATCGAAAAAAAACACTACTAATCCTACTGGCTAATGAACCTCCATGCCGCCGTCAGTCCTAATACAGAAGTGTATGTACTTTCGGCGGGCTCATATTGCAAGCTCACAATGTGAAGAAGCAGTATACTTCTCTTGCTCCATTGGTTCAATCGTACGTACCCCGGGTGAAGACCCATAACCCGAAGACCGACTTCACAATGACTGGCTTTTTAAAGAGGGGGTTGGGGAAATTCCGCCAGTATGAGCATGTGACCTTAGTATGGTCAGCGAGGGAATCCTCCCTCATGTCTAAAACATGAGGGGTGGCCTCTCGATTTAGGCTACGGACCCAACTGTATGCGATCCGGGCGGGGGGCTCAAAAAGGTGTTTCTTTTCCTTTTTTAAAAAAAAAATACATATATATATATATGTATATTATATATATATATATATATATATATATATAGATATGTATATCCATAACATCATGACCAACTTCTAATGGGGGAATTCCGTACAGACTTGTCAGTCAACGAAATCTTTCTTCATGCTTTAGCCATGAGCGGTAGCCACCTATTTTCACTACAGGCTCAAGTTGTGGCTCCAGAAGTAGTCCCATAACCCTTTTCATGGCACCTGCATACCCTGCACATAAGGAAAGATAAATGAAACCATTCCAAGCGATGAACTTAACTTGCCTTCAACCGTTCCTTATGGCATCCATCCTTCTTTTTTTTTTTTTTTTTTTTTTTTGGGTTATTCTTTGTTATTTCGTGTATGGAAGCCTAGGGGCCTTATGGTAGCATATGTGTGTGTGTGTATGTGTGTGTGT